CTGGCCCCCAATTAATGCTAAACCATGATTATCTATGCCTAACAATAATTTAGAAGGAATCCGGAATTAAAATTGCATATGTATTGCATTATCTTTGTGTCTTTATCTGTTTGCAATAAAATGATTTGTTCATGTTTTGACTTTGAACTGTGAATTGAAGGCCTTATCGGCGGTCGAATCCGGAACTGATTAGTGTTTTGTGTTTATTGGAATTAATGTGATTTTATGGTAAATTTAGTTGAAATTTGATTTGGTATGATTAAATTAGATTATATAATGCTAAATAGCATTAGTTGAGTATTTACATGTTTGCCACCTAGTGGGCCACCTTTACAAACTTGTGTGGGACTTAATTCACACCCTTGAGGCATTATTTCTTCATCCATATCTCAGACCAAACCGTTAGAGTGAGAGAAGAGTAGGAGAAAATTGATTCAACAAGAATTTTGCTTGATCTTTGGAGATTTGAAGGAAACTTGGAAGATTTGAGCTTCTACACTTAGAATTCAATACCTAAGGTAAAGATTTCACCTTCTCCATTGTGAATTTAAGATTAGTTCTTGCATGGTTCATGGTTAATTAGTGTCTAAAGCTAGGATTTGGGTTAAAATGTTGAATTGAGGATTAATTCATGCATGCATGCATAAATTTCCATGTTTTGAATTTGAGTTCTAAGATTTCTTCTATGCATGTGTTAATTTCACTCACATTATGGTCATTCAACTTGTTTTCCATCAAATTATCAAGTTTGATTATGTTTTGGAGGGTTTGAATTCATAGAGGTTCTTGCATGTTGAATTAATAGCATATTCATAAAGTTCACGTTGATTTTGCACAAATTGGGTTGCTCTTGGGCCATGATTTCTTGAAATTATCTTTCAAACATGTTGTTCTATGAGTTATTAAGTGTTTTCCAAAGTTTTGGGCCCAGAAAATTGAGTTTGATGCTTCGAAGGTTGAAATTGAGCTTGGTGATCAAATCTGGAATTTTCAGAAATTTGATCCACGCTCGAGCGTGGGACTTTACGCTCGAGCGTGAACTCTGAGTACGTGCACTCCGCTCGAGCGTGGAAGTCTACGCTCGAGCGTGAAATGCATATACCCAGAAGTTCTTGTGTTTTGCAGTCCGCTCGAGCGAGGGAATCCACGCTCGAGCGAGGTTCTGAGTCTCACGCTCGAGCGTAGGTCGAGCGCCCGTCAAGCGTGAAAAACATGCATCCAGTACTTTTGTCAAGGTTTACAGTCCGCTCGAGTGGGGCTTCATTATCTGCATGTCTGCTCGAGCGAGGGAAGCCACGCTCGAGCATGGACCTTATTTTCAGCAAATCTCGAGAAATATTTTCCAACGCATTCTTGCATCCTCATTCCATCCTAGGCATTTCTAAACCATGTTTAAGACTCCATAATGAGGATTAAGGGTTAGAAACACACTAAGAGCAAACGGCATAAGTTATGTACAATTCGAACGTGTATTTCAAGTGTGTGTTCGTATGTGTGTTCTTGTAGGTCACGCGCCTCAGAACAAGTGAAGGGCCGCCTTATCATCTAGTTAGGGCTACCAATCATCTGTGAGTAATAACTTTGTAAAGTTATGTTCAATGTTAAATATTTTCTGGACATTATGACATGAAATGATTAGTCTTCTGAAATGCTACGCTATGTTTTGAATGAATGAATGATTGTCCAAGATTTTGAAAGTTATTCGTGGCATCCTTGGCATCATATAATATGCGTCCCTTTATGGGTCATCAGGTCCCTTCATGGGTCATCAGAAACGTCTCTGTGCACATGAGTCATCAGAATGCCTTCAAGGCCGTCCCTTTATGGGCCATCGGATTTGTTAACGCTAAGGAATGTACCACGTATGATTATATGCAAAATCTGAATATGGAAATGATTACGAATATGTGTAAGAATTTGTTTCTGATAAGAATTTGATTTTTAACTCTGTGATGGACATCATTCATTAAATCCTTTACTCTGTTATTATTCATTGGGCTTTAGGTCATTGTGTGTATATATATGTATAGGCGAGCATTCTGGAACCTGAGCCTGAAGGCTTTTGTCTGGATCTGTGTCTTGTTGTCAGCCAACGATTGTGCCTCACGTGGAGGTTCCCGAAGTGTCCTGTGTTCAAGCTCTGTTGGTTCTATGTATATGTATGACTTGTTTTAATTCTGTTGGCTGGACTTAAGATACTATAATGTGTGTTGGTATAATGTATGATTGACTTTTGATTATGTATATAAAGTTTTAAATATTCCGTTTCATATAAGTCAACATAGCTCATTGGACAACTATATTTATGTATTTACTTCTGCTAGCCCCTTAATCTTGTTAATCTGTTCGGAGGCCTTCGGTAGTCCAAGGATTACTGGCCGGTTACGATGCTAAACCTATAGGGGCGGGTTTGGGTCGTAACAAATAGGGAGAGGGGCTGGAGACTCCCTAGAGGAGAGAAAGAGATGTCGTGAGGATGATGAAGAGGGATCGGAATGAGAATCGTCGGAGAGATGCCAGAATAGAAAAGAGGCTAGGGTTAGGGATTTGAAGGTGTTGCAAGAGAGATAGGAAGGGTCGAGAAGTATTTATATACTAGAGAGGGTGTCGACCCTCGTGAAGAGAGGGGTCGACCCTTCGAATATGAAAGGGTCACGTGGCAAACCCTTGGCCAAAGACCGGTGTCGACCATTAGGAACGTGGGGTCAGCACTAAAAAGCAGTGCCTTCAAAAACATCAGGTGTCGACCCCAAAAGAAATAATGAACCAAACTCCAGCTGGTGTCGACACCAAAGAAGGTGGGTGTCGACCCTTAACAATGAAAAACATATGGTTGGTTCACAGGGTGTAACAACTCCTATCCGTAATTAGCCACTAATTTGTATTTAATGATGTTAATGAGAGGATTAAAATAAATTATGTGTTTATTCTGCACTTTGTATGATTTTGGCATTCTATCTCTTACTTATAGAAATATCTGTTTGGAATTCCACTTTAATATGTAAATCGAAAGCCTTATCGGCACCCGAAACTGAAATGGACTACACCGATATGTTATTTGAAATTTTTAGAACCATATGGCAAATTTTATTAAAAATTGATTCAGTCTAATTCGTTAAGGCGTGTTTGGATGGACCAAATGCTCTAGTTCATGTATTAATACATCACAGGTATATAAAGTGCCTAATAAGCTCATTTAAGCTCATTTCTTTTATCTCCCTTAGTGCACAAATCTGGTGAAACACTTTAGAGAGAGAGGGAGCACAATTCCAGAGAGAGAAAGGAAGAGATTGAAGGTTATAGCTTGAATTGATCAAAGATTGTGCAAGTTCCTAGCTAATTGAAGACTCTAGCTAAGGATTTAAGACTTAATTATGAGTTTTAACCATCAAGTAGATCATTTCAAGAAGAATTTGTGATTATGTACAAGAGTTGGACCATAGATGTGAATTTAGAGTTAATTCATGCATGCATGTACATTTTCTTACAAATTGAGCATGATTTCCATAAATCCTCTCTTGCATGTTTGAAATTCATCTTCATTTGGGGAAATCATCAAGTCTCAAGTTGTTTTGTGGTATTTGATCATGTTTTGAGAAGTTTGATACAAGAAAAATTCATGCATGTTGTGTTCATAAACATTCATCATGTTTTAAGTTGAAATTGTGAGTTTTTAACAAACTCTTGGGCCATGATTTTATGAAATAATCCGTAATTCTTCATGTTTTACAAGTTTACTATGTTATCTCAAGTTTTGGGGCTCAAGAGATGTGTTTTGATGAGTTGAATTCGAGTTTTGAGCTTGGAGGTGCAATCTGAAAATTCCAGATTCTGCATCTACACTCGAGCGTGGGAGTTCACGCTCGAGCGACCAATCTGACTGCGTGCACTCCGCTTGAGCGACCAAAAGTCCGCTCGAGCGTGAATTGCAAGCTCCCAGAAGTTTCATGTCTTTTACAGATCGCTCGAGCGAAGGAATGTGCGCTCGAGCGACCATTCACATTTTGCATGTCCGCTCGAGCGAGGGAAGCTACGCTCGAGCGTGGACAGCTACGCTCGAGCGTGGACCTTATTTTCAGAAATTTTGCCTAAGTGTTCCAAGGCATGTTTTGGCATCCTCATTGCATCTTAGGCATTCCTAAGCCTTAATTAAGCCATAGTAATGAGGTTATGGATTAGAAACACACTAAGAAAAGAATGTACCAAGTTCCAAGACTGCAAGTGTGTGTGTTTTAGGCAATGTGATAAGAAAGAAGAAGAACCAATGTAATGAAAGCTAAGCCTTAATGGCCACTTGAATGTGTAATGATAAGACATGCTTGTGTTATGTATTTTGTGATTGTAGGTCAAGACTCGAGGGTTGATTGACCATTACTGGAACCACTGTGAGTAATGTTATTGTAAAGATACGTTCATATGAATTATGTTCTAAATGAAATATGATAAGTTATGATTTCTGAAATGATATCTGTTTTCGTGAACGAATATTTCATGTTTGAAATCTATTATGGCATCCATAGATAGTCCCAAGTCATGGGGGACGACATGAAAATGCGGGTCCATGACATACAAGTAATTACGAGATCTCGTTAGCCACTTCATTGTGGTGATATGTGTTTAATCGGTATCCAGAACCAATTACTCTAGTCGGAAGATGTTCTGTGATGTGTTCTATGGGATGTACCATTATTATGTTCTGATATGAAAATGATTATGTTCTGGTCTATTTTTTGCTTATGATATATTCGGATTTCATTCACTAACCCCTTTACCTTAATGTTATTCATTGGGTTTTAGCTCATTGTGTGTATATATATGTATAGGTGAGCATTCTGGAGCCCGAGCCTGAAGGTTTTTTTCTGGATCTGTGTTCTGTTGTCAGCCAACCATTGTGCCTCACGTGGAGGTTCCCGAATTTTTTTTTTGGGGTTGCGACCGAGTTACATTTTCGCGACCAACGATTATTTGGTAGCTAATAAATAACTTTTTGTGGCCAGATCTGTATTATGGTCGCAAAAGGTAATAGCGGGAGGGTGAAAACATTTTAGCGGGATCCCAAAACCTTTGGCGACCAGTAAGTTGTGGTCACAAAAACGCAAAAGGGCATATTTTATAATGAAATTAGGTCATTTTGAATGTTTCCAAAGCTTTGCTTCCTCTCCTCCATCGTTGGCCCTCTTCCTCCCAATAGCCTGAGTTACTCTCTCTCTCTCTCGTCACTCTCTCACTCCCAACTGGCAACAAAACCCTAGCTTCCATCTCCATTCAATTCGTCCCTTGTTCTGCCTCCGCCACCAGTTCCGGTGCCTTGCCACTCTTGACCTCCAGTCTAGGTATGATTTGTGTTCTTTTAATTTTTTTTTTCTTTTCCCCCAAAAGGCAAAGAGGGAGAGAGAAAGAAGAGAAAGAAAAATCAGACATTTGAAAGAGAGAGAGAAACCGTGTGGAAAAGTGAAGGATCTGAGTGATGGAGGCCTGATAGATTAGAAGGTGAGAGTGCTCACACTTCTTTGATCTCAACTCTAATTTCATTTTCTATATCAATCTATCTATCCATCTATCTATACATGTATGTATCTACATGTTTGTTTGTGTGTATATCAATGGTTGAGTCCCCATGGAGCTTTCCCAAAATGTTAGCTTTTTCTCTCTGATTGCTAGGTTTCAAGCTTTCTTCCAATTTTCTTTCAATTTTCAATCATGAATCCCTTCCGAACCCTTTTATGTCTCCTTCTTTCACCTCTTTGCATACTATTTTGGAATGGCGTAGTAGCTGCTCTCACCTCTAGAAAAGTTTTACTCTTTGTTTCTCTATATATACACATTTCTATACCTACATACATGGTGTTTGTATTGTAACTGATAAATGCTAGGATTCTAGAAATTTTTTTGTTTAATTTTGGGGTTTTTGTAAACTATTTAGTTTCTGCCTCTTAACTAGACAAATTGTAAAAATTTCAACTGAAATGCTTGATCTAAAAATTTCAATTTCAAAGTAGCAATTTCACCAAATGTAATATACATGAAATGCCTTTCTTTCTCTTGCAAAGTAGCAATTGCAAGAGGAATTAGATAAGAACAAATTTGGCAATTGCAATTTGCTTAGGGTTGAATTGATATCTTGAAGAGGAATTAGATAAGTATTTTATGAATCCATTGTATTTTATAATTGTTTTACATAAACACTACTTCAATTTATCATAGAATTGGAATAACCCTTAATTTTTTTTTTCTCCCCAGATGAGTTGGAAGGAAGGAATGACCCCTGATTGTATTTTTTTTCCCCCCAACTTCAATTTATCTATGTTCAATAATTACTTTGTGTTTGAAAGACAATGGTCTTGCTGGGCATACAAAACTTGTGCATAGAAGTTGTTTGAGGATTTGTTAAAGAGACTAATACTTCATTAGCTCCAAGATTTGACATAGATATATATTTTGTTGTGGTATATGATTTGTTAGTAATTCTCCATATGACATAGATATAAGTTTTTTAATTTTTTTGTTCTATTACTGCCTCACCTATAATAATTTTTATTAATTAATTTATTTTTTGGTGTAGGAACATTGTTTTTCTCCTTGAGTTTATGTTTTTTTCCCTTTTATTTAGCTTTTCTCTTTGTGTTAAACAGGAAAGCAACCCAAGAGGGGGGCTGAATTGGGTTATAAAAAAATTTTGGTCCGAAAATAAGGTTTAAAAGACATGTAATTAAATGCAATAAATAATCAATAGCTTCACAGAAAGTAAAAAGAAAAGAAAAGAGGAACTTAACGCAAAGATTTATAGTGGTTCGACTCACCGGCCTACTCATCAAGAGTCCTCCTTGAGAATTTCTTCACTATGAATTAATGCACCACCAAGCTTTTCCCAACTTGTGGATTTTTACAACGGACTTGCTTTAATCTGTGGAGGATCTCTCAACGAAAAGCCTCACGTCACAAGTGTTTCACTCAGAAACTAATGAACTAGGAAGAGTGGTCCAACTGTCCTCTTTGACAAATACTACCTCTCAAAAGATGGATATGAAAGTGTAAGCTCACAAGTAAGTTTAGGACTTGCTTAGATATGAAAATAGGAGAACACAAGTGAAATCTCAGAGGTTGAAAATGATGTTCGGTATACTTAGTGTATTTGCAGTGAGTTTTTTTCTTCTTAATTCAGATCTGGAAAAGATCCAGCTTTATACCCTTCATCCGACTTATCTCTTGAAGCAAAAACACACCCACATGGGTCTTCTAGCCGTTGGAGCTGGGCAACAAAAAAGTCTCCAGCTGTTGCAAGTGGAGCATGGGTTGTACAGGCTGTTATCTGACTATTGGAAGTGGAGCTTCCTTAAAGGAAGTGATGCCCATGCTTGGGATTCAAAACTTGGTGGATGGACATAATGTTGTCTTCATGCTTTTTCTTTTTCGGATCTTGCGAATGGTGTGAGTGGAGAATGTTTCCTCTACTGAGTTAGAGGTTGATGTCCCAAAGTCCCTTTTGATTAGAATAGAATTTGTTTGATGATGATGTCATAGGAACCTTTACAGATTAAGAAGATGGCGGCTAGGGTTTTTTGAAACCCAGACATAAAGGTGTCGACCCCTGCAGATTGGGTGTCGACCCTTTGCTCTGTCTTTTCTTTCCTGAGTTGATTTCCAGGTGTTCCTGGTGTCGACCCTTAGCATGCTTGGTGTCGACCCTTGCAGCTAAAATGTATACTGAATTTCAGTGTCGACCCTTGCTGATTTTGGTGTCGACCTTTGCATTTGGAACACTTACATTTTTTCAGCTTCTCTCTGGTGTCGACCCTTGCTTTTCTGGTGTCGACTTTTTGCTCTGGAACACTTAACACTCTTGAGGATGATTCTAGTGTCGACCCTTAAACCTGTGTTAGACAAAGAAGGAGTTTTGCAACCAATTTTTGATGCTCATGTTTTGAGGGCCTAAAAATGATTTAAAAACTAACATTTTAAAATCATATGACTTCTAGTACTGTGAAACAAAATTTTAATTTGAAAATTTTAAGCAATGAAATAGTTCAATTTATTTGTTCATGATCAAACTAAAAAAGAATTCTAAAAATGAATAACCTTGGGACTGACAATCTCCCCCTTTTTGATAATAACAAATAAAAGAAATTTAAGATATAAATGACAGCATTTAAGAAGGGTTTACTTAAAAAAAATCTATTGAAAAAACAAAAAAAAAAAACTCCCCCTATGAAAAGGGATTCATGGCCATTTCAAGGATGATGAGAGATATGTATAATAAGATAGCTTTGATATAGATCAAACTCCCCTTATCAATGTATATTGAAACTATCATTAGTAAAATCAAATTCTTCAATCTATTCACAAGTCTAGATTCCATAAAGCTTGAAGAATAGATAATCACAAATCACAAATATTCATAACCAAGGTGTTCTCATACCATAACATATTTGTGTTGCCCAAAGAAAATTTCAGGAATATCAGTTGCTCAAAAAGAAAGTGTTTCTCACATATTTCTGTGATTGTTTCCTAAGCATCCACATCCAAAAAGCAAGTGTTTCTCACATATTTCTGTGATTGTTTCCTAAGCATCCACATCTAACTTGTTTCTAAAATAACCATACAAAAAGTGTTCCTAAACAGCCACACAATTACAGCAGCATCACATAACTAAGATAACTGCAACTTTTTCTCCCCCTTTGTCATAATCAAAAAGCGGGGTAGCATCTAACGGAAAGGTAGAGGAGAGCGCGGCCAATGAGGAGCGGCTTCGTGCCAGCCTTGTGCAAACCAAAGCATAAATTTCCTTATTTGTTCACCTAAATCATCATCCCAGCGCTATTGAAAGATTTGGCGAAATTCTTTGTTGAAGTGTTTGATCCCATGGATGGCGATCGCCATACTCTCTACACTTTCTTTAGTGGCTGCAATGACTTGGGCTTGATGAACTTTTATTCGATCAATGTCTTGTTGCATTTCAGATGGCTAAGAAACAAGTTGTAAAACCAAGGCACTTAACTCATCGATTTTTTCTTCCATGGCAGAGGATGATGAAATAGGAATAGAGTGAGAAGATGAGGGAATGTCGAAGACAGGAATGGATGGAGAAGTTAGGTTTAGATTGTTCAGCTGAGAATTAATGGAAGCAATGCCATCCATTACAGGACCCTGCACCATAAAGTTAAGGTGATCGAGTTTTTGAGAGATAGACGATAGGTCAGAGGAGGGTGGAGGAGAAGAGGGACCAGGGGTGGAGAAGGGCAGTGTAGGGCTATGAAGAGAAGATCCAGGGGTAGAGAGACCAAGGGGCGATAAGGGTTTCTTGGTTTTGGTCCAAATACTGTTAACAAGAGAATAGCCCATGTTTCTAAGTGTTTCAGCCCCATAACAAGTGGGGTCGCGAGGGGCTTTTTCTTCCCCCTTCAAGTCAATCTTGAAATGTTTGAAGATTTTAGTAAAAATCATTCCGTAAAGAAGAGTTTGGTTGTTTTGTTTGTGGGCATTTTTGATACAATGGATAACTAGAAAACCAAAATCAGTGGGGAAACCAGTGGTTAAGGCCCAAATAAGGTACGTGTGGCCGTATGTAACAGCATCAAAACGTTCGGAATGAGAAATAATGTTATGAGTGATAATATGATGTAACAGTCACAGTTCTAGGGAGAGATCTTTCCTAGAGACTGTGACCAAGCTATTTAAGTCAGGGTTGTTTGTGAGGAGATGGAGACCAGTGAGATGAGAGTAATCAGATGGTTTGACAGTTACAGAGGGATGGACCTTGTGTCCATCATTTGAGGTTTTAAGGATAGAGTTAATAACAGAGGATGTCAGGGTGAAGGGGACACCTTTAACAAAACAGTCTAGGGTATGTGGAGAGGTGTCCTCATCATAAGATAGATTTGCGAAAAATTATTTCATGAGGGTTGGAGAAATATCACAGTCGAGCTTCAAAAGTGATGACCACTTTTGATTGTCGAACCATGTTTTTACAGGAAAGGAATGTTTATCAAAAAAGGCTAGATCTATTGTTCGACTAGAGATTACCTTGCGAAGATTGAAGTCTTTATTGAAAGCTAAACGAAATTCAGGGTTCTTGAAACGTAGAACGGGAGGAGACGCGACGACGGTAGTAAAAGCGGTGGATGTTCGAGGTTGCTTTCGTGTTGCAATAGTGTAATAACCCCGGCCTCCGATTAATGCTAAACCATGATTATTTATGCCTAACAATAATTTAGAAGGAATTCAGAATTAAAATTGCATATGTATTGCATTATCTTTGTGTCTTTATCTGTTTGCCATAAAATGATCTGTTCATATTTTGACTTTGAACTGCAAATTGAAGGCCTTATCGGCGGCCGAATCTGGAATTGATTAGTGTTTTGTGTTAATTGGAATTAATGTGATTTTATGGTAAATTTAGTTGAAATTTGATTTGGTATGATTAAATTAGATTATATAATGCTAAATCGCATTAGTTGAGTATTTATATGTTTGCCACCTAGTGGGCCACCTTTACAAACTTGTGTGGGACTTAATTCACACCCTTGAGGCATCATTTCTTCATCCATATCTCAGACCAAACCGTTAGAGTGAGAGAAAAGTAGGAGAAAATTGATTCAACAAGAATTTTGCTTGATTTTTGGAGATTTGAAGGAAACTTGGAAGATTTGAGCTTCTACACTTAGAATTCAATACCTAAGGTAAAGATTTCACCTTCTCCATTGTGAATTTAAGATTAGTTCTTGCATGGTTCATGGTTAATTAGTGTCTAGAGCTAGGATTTGGGTTAAAATGTTGAATTGAGGATTAATTCATGCATGCATGCATAAATTTCCATGTTTTGAATTTGAGTTCTAAGATTTCTTCTATGCATGTGTTAATTTCACTCACATTATGGTCATTCAACTTGTTTTCCATCAAATTATCAAGTTTGATTATGTTTTGGAGGGTTTGAATTCATAGAGGTTCTTGCATGTTGAATTAATAGCATATTTATAAAGTTCACGTTGATTTTGCACAAATTGGGTTGCTCTTGGGCCATGATTTCTTGAAATTATCTTTCAAACATGTTGTTCTATGAGTTATTAAGTGTTTTCCAAAGTTTTGGGCCTAGAAAATTGAGTTTGATGCTTAGAAGGTTAAAATTGAGCTTGGTGATCAAATCTAGAATTTCCAGAAATTTGATCCACGCTCGAGCGTGGGACTTTACGCTCGAGCATGAACTCTGAGTACGTGCACTCCGCTCGAGCGTGGAAGTCTACGCTCGAGCGTGAAATGCATATACCCAGAAGTTCTTGTGTTTTGCAGTCCGCTCGAGCGAGGAAATCCACGCTCGAGCGAGGTTCTGAGTCTCACGCTCGAGCGTAGGTCGAGCGCCCGTCGAGCGTGAAAAACATGTATCCAGTACTTTTGTCAAGGTTTACAATCCGCTCGAGCGGGGAAGTCCACACTCGAGCGGGGCTTCATTATC